CCACCAGGCCAACCCATCCTCCCACCCCCCTCCCCTCTAGAACCCTCAGTTCGTTTTTCAGAGTCCATCGTCCCTCATAGCAGCCCCCTTTTTTATCTTTTTTATTATGTTCAGTTAGCCACTGTATAGTAGTACATCATTAGTTTTTTTTATGTTATGTTAATCCCCATACATTACATCATTAGTACATCATTAGTTTTTGATGATGTAGTGTTCAGTGATTCATTAGTTACATATAACACCCAGTGCTCATCACAACCTGTGTCCTCCTCAGTACCCATCACCCTGTTACCCCCTCCCCCCACCCCCCTCCCTTCTGAGACCCTCAGTTCATTTCCCCGGGTCCAGAGTCTCTCATGGTTCATCTCCCTTTCTGATTTCTCCCCCTGCAGTTTTCCCTCCCTTCCCTGTAGCCCTCTGTGCTATTGCTTATGTTCCACAAATGAGTGAAACTAAAATCAATGCTTCAGGAAAATATGCTAAATTTATTCTGTGACTTTTAATTTTCCTAATACGTCATCTCTTGCCTATATCCCTTCATCTCAAAGTATGAATGTCAGGGAACTCACGTGGACTTTGGAGTCCAGCCCACTGGCCTGGGTGAGAATTTAGCCCCTCTTCTCCTTCGGTGTGACCTTGGACAGGTTGCTTTTTTTCCTGAGCCCTTGTCATCATCCAAAATGAGGGCATGATATGTTTCTCATGGGACAGTTGTGGTGACACACTGGGATGGTGCCTATAAAGAGCCTGGCTCTTTCTACCTTGTAGGCTGTTCCCTTGACAGAGGGCTGTCCTGTGCCTGGGTGTAAATGTGCTTTCTCTATAGTAAGTGAGGGGCTAGTCAAATGGGAAGAAAGTAGGTATTAGGCTCCCTCTTCACTGAGTTGGTTGTCGTCTCTGGTTCCAGACTGGGTCTGCTGGCAGTGCTCACTTGTTCTGTGTCCATGGGCAAAGTTGGGTGGCCTCCATCCTTGACACCTCCACTTGAGGGGATAGGTGGAGGGCATGTTGCTTCTGGTATAGAGTCATAGTGAAAGGCTTGATGTGGCAGAAAGTAAAGGTTATTGGCTTTCCAAGATTGTTTTCAGTCTCCTAGCTTCCAAATTCCTAATACGTAGGGGAGTTACATGCTGATCTCAGTTATTTCAGACCCCAACAGACTGAGAAGAACAGGCTTTTTGGTCAGGTCTTGTGAGAAATGGAAGAGAAGAGACTTCCAGGGTAGTCCATAGGCCCTGGTCTCAATCCAGAGGAGAAAATCATCCCCTCTGTGCTGAGTCTGGGAGCTTTTCCCTTGCTGGTGGAGGAGGTTAAGAAAAACACCATGGATATGAGAAGGAGGTGGCACTTGCTGAAAATGAATGAAACCTCCCCAGAGAGTCAAATACTTGGGCTGAGAGAGGTCTTACTATCTGTACATCGTTGTCTATTGCTGTGTAACAAATCACTTAGTAGCCTAAAGCAGCAAACATTTATTATCTCTCACAGTTTCTGAGAGTCAGGAATTTGGACGTTGCTGGATGGTCTGGTTTAAGGTCCCTCCTGGAATTGCAGTCGAGCTGTTGCTTAGCTGGGTCTGCAGTCATCCAAAGGCTTGACCAGGCCTGGTGGATCTACTTCTCAGCTCATTTATGTAGCTTTTGGCAGGAGGCCTCAGTTTTTTGCCACATGGACCTCTCCGCAGGGCTGCTCATGACATGGTGCCTGCCTCCCCTCAGAGCAAGTGATCAAGACAGAAGCTGCAGTGCCTTTTTATGACCTGGGCTCCAAAGTCACACAGGGTCACTTCTGCTTTATTTTCTCAATTAGAAGCAAGTCCCCAAGTCTAGCCTACACTCATGGGGTGGGGGAAGTTCGGCTCTACCTCCTGAAAGGAGGGGTCTCAAAGAATTTGACGACATTTTTTTTGTAAACCAGCACACTCTCCCCTTGCCCTCTTGTGACCTGTGACCTCTGACTCAGCCGGACAGGCCTAACTTCTGCTTCCCTTGGACCCCAGTTCTCAACATCAGCACTTCAGTTCAGTTGGCAACCTCCATGCCTTCAGGATTCCAGCCGGCGCAGACTCCAGACCCTGCGGCTCCAGTCACCTACTTCCCGTACTTCGACAGGATCTACCTGGCGGTGGCAGCGTCACTCAATGGGGGCAACGTGCTGGCCACGTTTGTCCACATGCTGGTCCAATGGATGGCGGATCTAGGTAAGGTGTCGCCCACACGGTGATGTGTTTCCCGCTTGGCCTTTCGATGTGGCAGTGTCTTGGTGCTGCCGGTGTTACTTAAGCTTCTAGATTCGTGTGTCAGACCCAGCCCGGCTCCAGCACATCCCTTCCTTCTTTAGGGATCTGGGCCTGTAGCCTTTTTTCCTCTCATCTTCTGAGCCGCCGTCACCTCTTTTTTTCTGAGGGAGCACCTTTTCCTCTAACATTGACTGGTCTCCTGGCTCTCCCCTGCCCACTGGTTACTTGTCAGTAGCTCACCATCCCTTTCTGATGACTGCAGAGAGCTGAAAATAAAATGATCAAACATGGATGAGTGAAAAGACTCCTGGTACTTTACAATATTATAAAATCCTTATAGCATTTATTCCTGGCAAGTGGTTCCTGACTCCCTTTCTTGGAAGGGATCCCTGAAAAGTGTGATGCCCTCTGCTTTCTTCAGGGTAGACTAGATCGGGCCTTTCTCTGCTCTTCATTTGCAGAGAAACTTGTAGCCTCCTTCCAGGAAAGGTTCCCTTTCCAAGCCCTTAAGGTAGAAATGAAATCACTGGTGAGCCATGCAGGTCTGGGGAAATCACTGGTCCCCCTATAGGAGCTCTGAATCAGGTCACGCCAGGAAGCTTTCAGCGTGGTAACAAGGTGAGGCATGGGCGGTAGGGAGCACGTGGGAAGCTCACACTGCTTGTGCAGACAAGTGTTGCTGACCCATGTCAGTGCTTTCCGGCTAGCCAGGGGAATTCTGCCCCCTTGGCTGAGATCCCCTCAGGAATGCGTCATTAAGAGAACAGAACTCTGATTTTGTTTTGCCTGAAAAGGTGTCAGAAAAGGTTTTCAAGACGCAGAACCAGTCGGGTGCCTGGGTGGCTCAGTCGTTAAGCGTCTGCCTTCAGCTCGGGTCATGATCCCAGGGTCCTGGGATCGAGCCCCACATCGGGCTCTCTGCTCCGCGGGGAAGCCTGCTTCTCCCTCTCCCACTCCCCCTGCTTGTGTTCCCTCTCTCACTGTGTCTCTCTTTGTCAAATAAATAAAATCTTAAAAAAAAAAAAAAAAAGATGCAGAACCAGTCATCAGAACCTTCAGGCAAGCCCTGTATTTAGATACTGTTTTAACTGTTTGGCTCTATCAGTTGTTGACTGAGCTGACCTACCGGTCTATCATTACACAGAAGTGACTGTTATTTTTACCCCTGAAAGAGATGGTAATATTATTTAATTTCTCTGTAAGATGTTTTCAAAAAGAAAAGTCCCTTGCATTTTCATGGTTCTGGTTTTGATGAAACTGAGGACTTTGAAGGTTAGTATTATATGTAACTTAACCTTTTAAGAAATTTCTACAATAATGTCATTTGATTAAAAAATATATAGATGCTGGGGTGCCTGGGTGGCTCAGTCAGTTAAGCATCTGACTCTTGATTTTGGCCCAGGTCATGATCTCGGGGTCCTGGGATCTAGCCCCCCGTAGGGCTCTGCACTTGGCATGGAGTCTATTTGAGGATTCTCTCTCTCTCTCTCCCTCTGCCCCTTCCCTTGCTCACGTGTGCTCTCTCCCTCTCTCTAAAATAAATAAATAGGGGTGCCTGGGTGGCTCAGTTGGTTAAGTGTCTGACTCTGGATTTTGGCTCAGGTCATGATCTCAGGGTTGTGGGATCAAGCCCAGTGTCGGGCTCCGTGCTTAGCAGGGAGTGTGCTCAAGATTCTCTCTCTCTCTCTCTCTCCCCCTCTGCTCCTCCTCCCTCTCTAAAATAAATGAATGAATGAATGAATAAATAAATAAAATAAATCTTTAAAAAATATATAGATGCAAATACAATAAGATTTGTTGAGATAAGAGACATTACATTTATTAACCAGATATGGAAATATTAAAGCATAAGATATAAAAATAAAACTCTCTATTCAGAATACCCTAGGTTTGCATTATTTCCCAGAAGTTAGAAAACAGGGAGTTCCACCCTCATGCGGTTTAGAGTAGGGACTCTGAAGCTAGGTGGCCTGGGTTTGAATCCCAGCTCTGCCACTTTCTTGTGCTTCGGGGCAGGTTACTTGTCCCCTCTGTTCTTCACTTTCCTCATCTGGAAAGGGATTATCCTAGATGTACCTTAAATAACTGTGGGGATCAAATGAGTTATATTGCAGGGCACTTAGAATGATGTCTGGCCCATAATAAGTGTGGTATAACTGCTTGTTAAATAAGCATAGTGGTGGTGCAACCCGGGAGAGTGCCTCAGTTCTCAGCTCTGTCAAGTCATTATGTGGCTTTGGCAAGTCCCTTGCCTTCGGTGTTTTTTCAGCTCTGATGGCCTGTGGGTCTAAGCCTGTGATGTGAGTATTTGGCAACTCATAGCATTTAATCCCCACAGTAGATTTGGATGAGGTGGTAAGCCAAGGGACGCAGAGACAGGGCTAGAAGCCAGGTCTCTGAGGCCTTCAGCTGCTAGACTCCTTCCTTCAGGTGCCCCCCAAGGCTGGGGTCATGGCTCAAATGTTTTCCAGCGAGGAAGAACGCTTTATTTTCACATTTCCTTAACATCCTTTTGGGAATTTTTATTAAGGACATACAAACACATCATTTATTGTTTTCTTCTTTTAACTATAGACTTTCTTTGGGTTTTGACAGTTTTCCACTAATGTCGTTTTCCTGTTCCAGGATCCAATTCAGGATACCACATTGCATTTAATCATCATATCTCCAGTCTCTCTGCTTTCTATTTTTTTTTTTTTTTAAGTTTTTATTTATTTAAGTAATCTCTACACCCAATGTGGGGCTTGAACTCATGACCCTGAGATCAAAAGTCATACGCTCTACCGACTGAGCCAGTCAGGTGGAGCTTTTCTGTTTGAAAGCTTTCTATTTGATTGATCTGTTTTTTTTTTTTTCTTTTTCATCTTCTTTCCCTTTTTTTCCCATAATTTTATGGTTTTATATTCTTTATTCTTTTTTTTTTTTTTTAAAGATTTTATTTATTTATTTGACAGAGAGAGACACAGCGAGAGAGGGAACACAAGCAGGGGGAGTGGGAGAGGGAGAAGCAGGCTCCCCGCAGAGCAGGGAGCCCGATGCGGGACTCGATCCCAGGACCCTGGGATCATGACCTGAGCCGAAGGCAGTCGCCTAACCAACTGAGCCACCCAGGCGCCCTATATTCTTTATTCTTTTAGAAGTTTTCAATGCACTGTTTCCTAAGATGTGGAGAGATAATCCCTCTTATACACTGCAGTAGTAGTGTAAATTGGTCCAGCTTCTAAGGGGCGATTATGATGTGCATATCCTTTGAACCAGCAGTTCTCCAAGGACTCAGTCCTACGGATTTGTATACTTGTACACATGTGCTAGGTTATTCATCAAGCATGTGATTTTTCTGAGATTTTAGTAGAATTTCTAGAGGGAGGGGAAAGACACTGATATTCATTCTGGCACTTTTTTCTTTTCTTTTTTTTAAGTAGGCTCCATGCCCAACATAGGGCTCGAACTCACAACCCTGAGATCAAGAGTCGCACGCTCTACTGACTGAGTCAACCAGAGTTCTGCTGATCACATTTTGACTATGATATTTAAATTATTTCTCCCTCTTCCTCTCTCTCATTCCCAAGTGTGTATAGCTGAGTTTGCGTAAGTTAAATGTGCTGCCACTGAGACTTCACAGTGACACTGGGGTGGTGGCTCTCAGCACTGGCTGCACTCTGGAAACACTTGTGAAGTTTTAAAAACAATGTTGATGTCCTAGTCCTGCCTGCAGAATGCTGATGATTTGGCCATGGGGTGGGGTGGGGTAGGCATTTTATAAAAGCTCCTCAGGTGATTGTTATGCCCTTAAGTGTTGGTAAGCACTGGTCTAGAACCTTCTAATTCAGAAGTGTGGTTCTTGGGCCAGCAGCACTGGCTTCCTCTAGGAGTGGAGAACAGCTACAGAATCTTGGGACCTACCCCAGGCACACAACTATGCTGCCCCCTGGGAATTCTATACTGTCTCAGCCTACAGCAAGGGGTGCATGAACTCACACAGGTCTTTTCTGTTCTTGGAAGGTCTAGAGGTCGAAGAATCCACTGTGTATTCATGTATGATCCAGGCAGCTGCACAGCAAAGAGACACCTGCCTAACTATCACTCCAACGGTGTTGGGCGAGAGGCACCTGCCGGACCAGCTGGCCTCAGTGACCAGAATCTCCTCCTCTGATCTCTCCCTGGGGCACGTGACCCGGGCCCTGTGCCGAGGCATTGTTCAAAACTTGCACTCCATGCTTCCATTTCAACAGCTCAAGGAGTGGGGTGTGGAGCGGGTGATCGGCAGTGGGAGTGCACTGTCCAGGAATGACGTGCTGAAGCAGGAGGTGCAGAGGGCTTTTCCCTTCCCAGTGTCCTTTGGGCAGGATGTGGACGCAGCTGTGGGGGCAGCTGTGGTCATGCTCCAGAGAAATCTTAACCAGAGGGAGTCTTAGTCAGTGCATCCTTTGGCCAAAAGACTGTTGCAGATTTTATCTAACTAACATTCCTGACATGACCTTGGGGTCATCCTTTTCCTGGACAGTTTTGTGGGCAGCTTTTAAGCAAAGCTTGTTTTCAGGGCACCATCTTGACCAAGAACCTACCTTCATCCTCTAATAATGCAGCCAGGACTCATCAACTAGATCCCAAATCAGTGCTCTCCAAGAGACTCACTTGGGAATTGGTCACAAATGTAAATGTGGAAAAAAGAGAGAGGGACAAAGAAAGAAAAGGAACAGTAGCCCAGCATCATGGTCAGCAGGCTCTTCTGTGATTCACCTGTAGACAAAGAGAAAATAAATGTGACTTCAGACACCAAAAAGTCTCCAAGTAAGAAAAGAAGGCCCCCCACCCCCCACCCCCCTGCCGCTCCAGCTTTTGGGATGATTGTATTTTGGGACATGAAGCCCAGACTTGGCTCACATGCACTGTTGGAAAAGTCCTTCCCTACTGGATTGTATCATGTGTCCCTGCAGTCCCCCTCCCATTCTTGTTCTCCCTTGGTCATAGCTGGTTAGCTGAGGCAGGGTATGGCCCAAGATAGTAAAGCAGACTGGCTGAGATGAAGATGCAGGGGTCTCTGCTGGCCTTCTCACCATGTGCTCCCCCTTCCAGGGAGAGCCTGCTGCACTGGAGCTGCTCCAGATCCTTAACACAACTGGCTCGAAGGCACATAGCAGGGAAGGAAAGGGGGCGTAGCATGACCAGCGAGGGAGATGGATGCTGCGTGGCCCCACCATTCAGGCATATTGTTCCCAAGAGTCTGACCAGGCACCAGTAGGACCCCTTTCCAGGGTGTGTCTGGGCAGCGGTGTGTTTTTGGCCCTGTACATTCTTGGGAATCTTTCCAACAGAGGGATGTGGCTGGGCATGCTCCTGTCAGAGAGGGTGGACAATTTACCCAGAGAGAACCCCTTATCCTGCGGCCCTAGCCTTTCTTTCTCTTGGTGTAGGCCTTGCTGGGCCACTATGTGTCCTGGCCCGCAGAAACATTCCCCTGGAGTCAGCATCCCTGCAGGGATCCCAGAGCATCTTAAACCTTCCAGTAGTTGGTAGGCATGAACATGGATGGCATGGCTTCCAGGAGAAAGCCATCATTGCTGCATCTAATTCCAGACTCCCAAGAGTGATCCCAATGCTCAGGCAGGCCTGACTCTGAGGCACCTGGGCAACTATGAGTCTGGGAAGCAGTCTTGTTGTCTCTTTGTAAATGTCACTTTATGAATTATGTGATTGTCTGAAGCTCTTAGATTAATCTGCCTGGCCATGCTGATTGGATTTTAGATACTAAAGCTCATTCTTCCAGAGACTTGTACCTTTAATAAGACACACCTGTCTTCTTTGGGATTGTTGTAAATTATGGCATAGCTGCAGAGCTTGGTTTGGGAGGTTGGACATAGCCCTGAGGATCATTTGTAGGTTGTACTATAGAAAACCCCTGCCTGCCCGGCAGTTCTGCCAGGACAAGTGGCTGAAGATCACTCAGGAAAGTCATGTGAGTTTTCTCTCAGCTAGAATGAGTCGACACCATTATTTTGGAGCCCCTGTGGCAGGCCTATGAGAGAGAAGCCACCTTGGGATAGACCAAAAGATAACAGCCCTGTCCGTCAGGAGGAATTGGTCCTCCGGCTTCGGGGAGGCAGCCTGTCTTGTGTCCTCAGAGTGCTGTGGATGGAGTCCGTCAACGTAAGATGAGAACCTGGATGTAAGGCCAGGAAGCCCAGCCCAGTGCCCAGTGTGGTGCTGGAACTCCCTGTTCCCTTTCCACATGTCCCCTCTACCTCTGAGGGCTGAGCCTCGTGCCGTCCAAGCTTGTCAGCTCAGAGCCCTGCTGCTGTATTTATTGCACGTGGCCTGGGCCTCTGCAGGGGGGTTGAACACAGCTCCCAGGGCCTCGTTTCTTCAGCCTGAAATCACAAACCACTCACTGCTTTTGCTGTCATTCCTGGAAGGTACCAGTAAGTGTTTGATACCAGCACGATCCTCATATGAGGAACTGGCCTTGAGGACTGCCTGCCCGTGTCCGGGTCTTACAGGCACACGGTAGGCTCGCACTTTCCCACCTGATTGCTTTGGCCAGTGAAACGTGAGCAGAAGTGTGCCACTTGTTCTGTGCCTTCAGGCCAGTTGTGTGGGCCTTTAGGAGCCAGTGTGTGATGTGTCACATTGCCTTCCTTTTGCCACCAGTGACTGGTAGTGTCCCAGAGAAGGGCTCTGTCAGCTTGGGTTCCATGTTAGGACAGTGTGGTGGAGAACCCTCACCAACGAATGAGCAACGTGCAGTGTGACCAAGAAATAAACCTTTGATGTTTGAAACCGCTGAGATTTGGGGGTTGTTTGTTACCACAGCATAACTTAGTGTACCCTGACCACTACAGCCGCCCTAGAGACCGTACCTAGGCTCAGCTGCACCCAGCACGGACTGACACATTTATCAACACCCACTAGGAGCTGGGTTTTCTGTCAGGACAATGATGAGTTGTTGAATTTCCATCACTAGGGAATGAAATAAACACTAGGACAGATTTATGTGTGTGCAGAAGGAGGAACAATTCATTCTTTATGTAAGTGACACTGAGCTAAACCTTGGAGAGTTTCAGTCCATCAATACCAACAACAGCTAACACTTTTTGAGTACCTGCCTTGTACCAGGAGCTAATCTAAACTCCACTTGTTCAGACCTATTTGATCTTTATGGTGATCCTAGAAGGTGAGTACTATTATCTTCATTTCTCAGGTGAAGAAACCGAGACGCAAAAATGTTACATAACCCACCCAAGATCACAACCCTAGGATTCAACCCCAGAGCCCGCTTTCTTCAGTGTTCTGGGCTGAGAGAGCAAATGTGTTGTCATGAAAGACTGGCATGAGCAGGGTGTGATGAATTGTCTGGTGTAACTTGGTCATACGGCATATGAAAGGGTGTGGTAGCTCTTGTGACTGGAAATGTCAGCCAAACTGTGAGGGGTCTTGGGTGCCAGATGGTGGGATTTGGACTTTCTCCTGTGGGCAGCGGAGTGGAGGACAGGCTTCACGGGCTTCAGGAGTAGAACTGCCGGTGTGCAGACTCTAGATTGGAGAACGGGTGTTGTGGAAGGCAGGGGCCCAGGTGGAGGGGCCTAGAAAGCAGCCTGTGAGACATGGTGGCCCGAACCAGCCTGGGGGCAGAGGCTGTCCCCCTTACCCTTCCTTTGGCCCTTGACTATGACTAGATCCGTATGTTTATGTGGCTTTCATGTTCTCTATTTTTCTTCTCAACTGGACTGAAAGCTGCTCGAGGGAAGGGTTCCTATTAAGCTGTTCTCTGATCTGTCCTTCTGCTTAATCTTGGGCTGATGCCAATGTTTGGAATGTCCTCCTGGGGCAGAACATTATACCAAGGCCCAGCTCAAATGCCATCTTCCTGCTATACGGACTCCCTGGCAGCATATTTCTCACTGGATTATGATTGCAGCTGACATCCGGGACCCCACTCAGTGTTTGCTGTTGGCATGGCCTATTGGCTCCTGGCTTGTGCCTGTTACAGGGCCCCCAACCCAGTAAAGTGTCAGAGAGAGCCTAGCAGGTCTTCCTACTCATGCATCCTGGCCTCCTTTTTTTTTTTTTTTTATTTTTTATTTATTTGACAGAGAGAGATACAGCGAGAGAGGGAACACAAGCAGGGGGAGTGGGAGAGGGAGAAGCAGGCCTCCTGCCGAGCAGGGAGCCCGATGCGGGGCTCGATCCCAGGACCCTGAGATCATGACCTGAGCCGAAGGCAGACGCTTAACGACTGAGCCACCCAGGCGCCCCCATCCTGGCCTTCTTGAGGGCAGAGACCAGCTTATTCACCCTACTCAATTGCTGTGGGTTTGCTAGTACTCAGTGGTCCTTCAGGAAAGAGGGCAGTTTGCACCTGACCTCTTTTCTCAGCCACAGTTAGATGGACAGATCACATCTTTGAAATTGAGAGATTCTGGGTTCAGAGATGCTCACTGTGTGAGTCATGAAACATTAAGCAAATCTTGGGTTTTTTTTTTTCATTAAAAAACAATTAGTCACAACCTCAAGCTAATGGCCGGATACAGCTCAACAGTCAGCAGATGTAGTTCTCATTTGAAATAATGAGGATGAGAACCATAATCCCTCATGCCTGCCTAGAGCTTTCAGCCCACAGAGACCATTCACATCCTTATTAATCCCCAGAAAAGGCCTGTAAAGCAGGTAGGGCAGGTGCTCTCACCCATTTTGTGGATGAGGAAGCAGGCCCAGAGCTTCAGCTATCAGCCCAAATTTATGCAGTGGGCGTCTGGCACAGCTGGACCTCCTCTCCCGCCTCCATTCTCTGCCCATGCTCCTGACCCTCCGATCTCTTCTCCCTCTTGTTTCCAGTCCCCACCCTGGGTCCCAGCTCTGCAGAGCAGGGCTCAGTTTTTGGGTGCTGAGTGGATGCCTCATCCCTAGGTGGCCAGCTCCATTCACTTCTAGAGTGCACTGACCCCTCTCACAGAGCCCTGCCCTCCACAGGAACTGACTCACGTGGGTACCTGGTGATGCTAATGCACAGACCAAATCCAGAAAGGAAAGTAGGTTTGCTGTTTGCCATCTGCACCTGGGATCCCTGAAGCCATTTAAAATCTGGGAGGCAAGACACAAAAATCAGGGAAGTTAAATGTCAACACAAGATTTAGAAAGCTCAAGACAAGACTAGTAGAGCTGACACTGTCCTTGGGTGGGTTACAGTGTCCTTAACCACTTTCCCTGGGGCTAGAACCCAGAAATGCCAGGCTGACAGTTCCTGATTTGCGTAATCAGGCTTTTTCAGCACATGAGAGTTTGCTGGTTTCTAGCTGTACCAGAAAGTCTGGCTTCAAATTGGTGAGGACCCAGATGGATGAAGAAAATGAATGAGGCTTCTATGGCCAGAGTCAAGGGCTCAGTTTAAGCCAATGTGCCCCCTGGTGGTAACAATGTTAGAACTGCAGCTATTGGTGACGGGGGTTCCCGTTGACTCCGCCCACCCACTTGCTGGTGTGGCCTCCAGCACCTTCCTCCACTGCCCCTTGTCCCCATCAGACCAGAGCTTGGAATAAGTGCCCCCTCCCAGAATTCATCATTTAAACGTGATCTACTTACAAAGAATTTTAATGGGTACATCATTACATAGATTCAAGAACACCCTTAAAGAGTTATGGAAAAAAAAAAAAAGAGTTATGGAAGCCGGGGGCGGGGAGGTGGGAAAGAACACCTTGTTGCACATTATGACCCAGAAAACTAGGTTGATGGCAGCAGTGCTCAACCCTAAGGTGTCGTCTCTGCCACCATTTCATGAGTTTTAGTAGAACCACTCAGTGCAGATTTTGCTCAGATAAAACTATGCCAATAAATATTTACAGTGTGCTACTTTGGGCAAGGCATGGAGCTAGGCTTAGAGAAGGAAAATTGAGGGGACAAGAGCCCTGTCACCCTGAAGCCATTAAAATCTGTGAATTAAGAGATAAACATCAGAGAAGTTAAAGCTCAATACAAGCTTTAGGAAGCTTCAGACAAGACTGGTATGGTTGTCACTGTCCTTGGGCAGGTTATGTAGCCTGTCTACAACTCATTTCCTAATCCCAAACCAAACTTTCCTCATGAAACTTTGTGAGAGTTTGATAAGTTATGCCCAAAGTGCTTACCCCAGAACCTGGCACACGGCATGGGCTTAATAAGCATCCACTGCTATTATTGTTGTCATTGTGATCCCACGCACCAGTTGCTACAGGAAGGTATACGCTGAGATTTGTGTAGGAGTTTAGAGGTGAGCACTTTGGCTGGGCCCTTGGTGGAGAGGCTTTTTGGAGGAGGTGGGAGTTGAATGATAGAATCTCAGCATCCACAGTTCTCACCTGCCCCCTGGGCCTTAAAGACGGGTTAAGTGGGATGCATAGAGCAAACATGTTGGGCAGAAGAAGGGCAGGGGAAGAGCATGGAGGCAGGCACAGTTAGTGTGACTAGGGAGGAGATGTGTCCGGGTGACAGCTGGGCCACGGTGGGAATGGGCTCAGGGTGCCAGGCTGAAGGATAAGGCCTTGTTCAGTAAGGGGGCAAGGTCAGGAGAATGTTCCGGGACTGGGGATTGAGAGGTGGTGGGTCGGGGTGCTGGGCCAGGGAAGGGAGGCACTTCTGGAGCCTCGGGTGAGAGGAAGTAGCTGCCAGCTACAGAGGGTGGATTTGAGGACAGTGAGGACAGAGAAGGAGAAGCTGGAGATGACAAAGTATGTCAGGCTTGATGACCACACAAAGCTGGTGCCTCTCTAGGCAGGAACATTGAGGGGAAGGAATGTGGAGGGCAGAGGTGTCCACTTGGATGTGCTGAGTGGAAGGGGTTTGTGGTCTTCATCTGGAGATTCCAGGAGATAGGGATGGAGCTCATGGGAGAGGGTAGCACTGGACCCCTGGATGAGGGAGTCCCTGGCTTGGGAATGTCAGATGGGTCCTTGGAGGAGTGGGGGTCTCAGAAAGGGATAGGAGGATGTAAGGGTCAGTCATGGGGAGCCCCCGTGTGTTGAGGAAAAGCTGTCAGGGAAGGAGGAGGAGGGTCACGATTTCCCCTGTAGCCCTCACAGCATGCATGGTACCATGCAGACTCTGGGAGATGTTGTCAGCACCCAATGGCTCTGTTACAAAGGGGACACATTTAGTGATGTGAGTTGTCCTCACCGGAGGCAGAAATCACCTGGGAAGCTAAGGGGATAGTTCTAGTGGAGAAGTGTAACCTTCCCCTTTCTTGGACCGTGCCCCTGAGCTGGCCAGTTGTCTTAGTGCCTTTCTCAGATGTCTCCCACCCATGCCCCGGGGCTGCCATGGCTGAGACCTGGCCCTGGTCCAGGCAGTGTCCCTAAGACAGCATGGGCATGTCAGTCTCCATTCCAAGGTGTTCCCACAGCACCTCTGGCCCACACAGGTGGTTAGAAGGAACAGTGACCCCAGAGAACTTGTAGGTTGAGGGGTCACTGCTGGTGAGTTGTTTTTTTTTTAAAGATTTTATTTATTTGACAGAGAGAGACCCAGCGAGAGAGGGAACACAAGCAGGGGGAGTGGGAGAGGGTGAAGCGGGCTTCCCGCGGAGCAGGGAGCCCGATGCGGGGCTCGATCCCAGGGCCCTGGGATCATGACCTGAGCCGAAGGCAGACGCTTAACGACTGAGCCACCCAGGCGCCCCGAGTTTATATACATATAAAATATATGTAACAGTTATGTACGATTAAGAATGAATTCCATGGCCTCACCCTATATGTCTCTTCAGCTGGCTGTTGATTGGTATCCTTTATTATATTATTTAATAAACTGGTCATCAAAACT